ATTATTAATTCTTCTTCTTTATGTATTAATTAATGCTGCAATTATAATATAATTAATTCCTTGTATGTAATCAGATAGCAAGCGTAATACAATTTTAAAAAGTAAAACGACAAATGAATTAAGATGACCATAGTCAGATCTCATAAAAGTAATTATACATACATATATAGGTCATATGCACGGATGTATGCATATAGTATACATTTGTTAATAATTACGCAATATTAAATACAGCAAGCAGTAAGTTCCTTTCGTTGCAAAGCAATAGTAGTCCATAGCTTTTTCGAGTTGAAGAGAAATGAAATATGGTTATTGTGTTGAAACGAAATCGTTTTCATAGTTTCTTAGAAAGAAGTCTACACAAATGGAAAAACTTTCAGCTATGATTTAGCTTTGGTAAAAGTGTTTGCCCCATAAAAGTAACACACTTGGATATTACCCATTGGAATCGACAGCGAAAAACGGTGTATGGGCAGAACAAAGTTTCGTAGGTGGCCGATGTCAGTAGGGAGAGTTCCTCAGGGCTGGTTAATAAGTTTCTGAGACTATATCCTCGAAAAACAGAACAGCTTAAGATAAGGTGCATTTCAATTAGAAGATATCCTGCTAAAACACCTATCGAATTTGAGAGTTACAAAGAATTAAAAAATGTCCCCTGGCCTTGTTTCGTAGAGACAGGTGGGTCAGAAGTTAGAAGGGCGAAATTCGAGGATGTGGTCGTGTATATCTTAGTCCTTGACAAAATTTGTTCAATAATATTTATTCGAAATTTTCAGGGATATCCAAGGGTACTATTTTAAAAGCACATTTTCAATGCCTATTAGTACTTTAGGGCTAAAAAATTTAATTCTTCACAATTATGCAGAATTTTTTTCTGTTATTTGATACTTATACTGTTTCTCAACATTACGCTACATTTTTTTAATAATTTTTTGAATAAATGAGTAGTCCACTTGCAAAGTGCGCTATGTAAAATTGTTTCGATTTTTAGTTTTTGGTGGATTACGTACCAGTATTTAAATTAGTTTCATGTCCACCAACAACACAGTGCAAAATCTTTTTATATTCTAAAAAAATAGCATAAAATGTTAACTCTTCTTCCAAAAGTCGCTATCATATTTATTTATAAACTTTCAAAAGTATCCATCTTCTGATGAACCTAGAAAACTGCTTTAGGTCGTATAGAATGTTAATGTTATATTTTGTCATGGTATGTTATGTTATAATTTTATAGGGCTCTTATTTATCCAAATTTTGAGGTAATAATAAAAAAGATTCAATTTAAGTGTTACTAGTTGTCGTAGTAGTTTTTTTTTCAAATTTATGGCTTTCTATTATAAAATCACATAACGCTGTTTGTAAGTGGACTATTCAAATCATGTCTTTGATATTTCAAAGTATTTTCAAAAAAATTCTGACCACAGATAGAAAACCTAGACTCCTAGTTTTGCAAGTATGTATATTTATTTTTCTGTGTTCAATATTTATCGTCGCACGGTGTGACATACATATATAATTAATGTCCTCCTATTGAGCGAATATTTATGGTTTTCGACGTAAATTTCAGAGTATCAAGTATCCATAATCTATGGACAACTGTTCCTCGATGGGCAATGACTAGGGGTGGCAATGATTAATCATTTAATTTACGATTTTAATTTTAAAGTAATCGTTAAAATTTTTTCAAGAAAGAGGAGTTCTGTATTTGTTCAAAATTGCAAGCAGCGGCAGGAATTGCTCACGTTCAGGGCATGCAATCGTGTGAATAGTTGTGCATGTGAGCCCATTGTAAAAGCTACAAAACTAAGTGTGGCAACGTTACAATTTCCCAGAAGTAACTGCCAGTCTCCACAGGATAAAGATTATATCTCATTGCTCCTCAAGAGCAATATATATCTTGCCATCTATTGCAGGCAATTTGGTAGTTTTGCAGCTGCATTTTCATTCGCACGACAACTTCGTGGCGGCAACATTATTGATATTTTAATATAAAAGCAAAAATTGAGCTGTTTTCTACTAAAATCTTTGTTATTATGCACTTGGATGTAAAATAGCTTATTTGCTAATTTTTTTGAGCGATTAAATCCGGCAAAAATACGTTTAAGAAGCCATCTTTCAAATGCTTATATCAAAAAATAATAAAAACCAATATAAAAATCCCACACAAATATTGACACAGGTATAACTTATATCCAGCAACTAAAATGAGAGCTGGTTAGCAATAAATTTTATCCTGTGGAGACGGCTTAGCGGAATATCATCGAAGCTTGGAAGGAAATGAAAACTGTTTACCCATAACTTTACGAACTTTCGAAAAAATACTGTCAGTTGATACCTCGATGCCTGCTGACTGGCTTAACAACAAAACGCTTATCAAAGATTAAATAATAAATAATTATCGCCGCTAAAATTACTCGTTCTATTTTATTTAATGCTAATTAACAAGAGAATTAGAAATTATTTACGGAAAAGTGTTTTGGTGAATACTCACTGCAAAAAAGTTACTTTAAAATTTCGATTAATGGATTATTTCTCAGTAATTGCATTTAATTTCTTTCGGATTGTGATTAATCATATGATTAACTAATCGATTATTTTATTTTTTTTTTTGCCATACCTAGCAATGACAAACATCTGGCTGCCAGGGAAAAGCGGCTCATAAAAACCATCTGGCATGCGGGGCTGTCGGAAAATGTAGTATTGCCCACTGAATGTGTATGTGTGTAAGAATATGTAGCTACCCTGCAGTAAATCGCGCTAGTTCAGAATTAGCTCTTTAAGAGGCGGTACTGGTTCTCGATCTATCCCAACGCAATGCTTTCAACTATCTCTTTTTACATGGCAATGTCCTACGAAGTGGAAATTGCCACATCTGCAGAACTTTCGAACTAGTTCTGAACGGCCTCCATTTACGACAATTCTAGGACAATAAGTTTTTTATGAGAAACAATTTTGAAACTAGATTACAGGATATTTTTTTCTTTTCTGAACTGTTTTCATTTTGGACAGATATGCGACAATAAGGTTTGTTTAAAAAAAAATTTGATTATTCGATTTTTTGATATCTTTTTATTTTTTTTTGTTTTTTTTGCAGTTTGCATTTTATTTAATTTTTTATTCTTTTATTTTATTTATATTAAATTTGATAATTATCTCTTAAATTTTTAAGCGGCGCTAAACAATTTAAATTTATTAAATCTGAAAATCACAACTGCCTCCACCGCGATTTGAGTTCGCGACCAACGATGTTAGAGTCGGAGGTCTTCCCGCTGAGCTTTTTTAGTATTGTACGCGAAGTGAGAATTTGTGCATTTACTTCTTAACAGAGTGCAACTAGCACACCAAAAGTTTCAACTGTCCCTCCCTGCAGCCGTTTTGCATTAGTTCGGAGATAGTTCTGAAATTTATAGGGCGGAACTAGCGCCCTCTTTTCTATGCAAAAAACTGGCGAAGTTATCATGGAGATGTCCTAGGAAGTGTCAATTGCCCCCCGCTGCATCCCTTTTTCCATAGTTCCGAACTAGTCCTACCTTCTATAGTTCCGAACCAGTTCTAAAATCGACAGAGGAAAGAAAAAATTATAATGATTTTTCAATATTTTTGGTTCTTAGGTATGTACGATTTTAAATTATTTTCAAAGAAGTGTATTTTCAATTTGAAATTAAATTTGTTTGAGTGATGACTTTGCAGCGGTGCTTGCTGTTACTGGTTAGATTCCAGACGGTCCCAAGATGTTAAAATATTAACATAAATTTTAGTTTTGTATTACCAAACTATGAAAAAGCATTTGCAAAGTGCGGAATGAAAGCGTATTTGAACGAAAAAGCAGCCAAACACATATCTATGTAAAGTAAACACGTCCCCGCTTCATCACTTTTTCGATAGTTCCGAACCAGTTCTAAATTCGTCATTTTAGATATAGATTTATAATGGAAAAAGTGAAATAAAATAGTTTTTTAAATGTACCACATTACGCTGATTTTGGACTGGTAGGGATCTAGTTACAATTGGACTGAATCGTTTTTTGGCAATAAAAATCTAGTACGTCACTAGAAATTTGATTCACTAGTCCTCGGTTTCCCAGCATGGTTTTTATGCGAGTGCACATCTCATGCATACACACATACATATATAGCACTTTAAATATTTTTAAACCGCAGAAAATAAGAGGTTTCTGCGAAGGCCATTTTCATTTATGAACAAAAGTTCCATCCGGCTAGAAGCGTACGCATGTATATATGTGCCTCTTTGTGCTTCTATTTTGAACCTTGGTTGCCAATGGCAGCAATGTATTGTTCAAAGCTCTAACTTGGCAATGCTGAGTGCTTTTTATGTGCAATATAAAAATGCCACGTGCGTGTATTATGAATGCGATGAATTGTGTTTATGAAAAAATAAATTAATATTTTTACCACTCTTTAATGGGTGGTAATTTAAATAAAGGACTTGTTGACAGGCATCAAGAGTGAACTAATGTCGTGAACACTTTTTTATAATCCTAAAGATAATCAAATTTGTATTTGGTTTAAAACTCAAATTACTTTTTTATTAAATTATAACCGTTTATACATTCCAATATGTGTATACGAGTATGCTACGAGTATTTAACTATAAAGAGCACATTCGATGCTAATAAAAAAATATTGCTTTAGACATAAAATATCCCATATTAAGTGTCTACATTAGACTGGGTCGCAAAAATGTTCGAAATCGCACTTCAACAGAATTTTTGAATATGATTAACGGTATTGTTGTCGATACCAATATTGATCTGCATACTTATCGTCGTTGCAAATATTTCGCCTCGTCAGTGAGGTTGACATATTTGATTCGTCGAAGGCTTAGGCGAATGATTTTTTTTTTTAAAGACCGTTTATTTTCTTCGAAATAATCCAAAAAAGTTAACTTATATTTGAAAATAATTTCAACTTTTTTATTTTGATCTCGATTTCATAAAAAGCTTATACTAATTCGTTTTATTACATTCTCGTTCTTTGCAGATACTTTTAGGCAATCGTAATCGAAGTTTTGCATAGAATTGAAAATAGTTGTGGTATTAAAGTCAATTGAAAGTAGGACAAGGACAAAATATTTCCGTTTAATGAATTGAAAACCAATGCTGATTTTCAGCTGGCCAGTAATAATTGCTCAAAAAGGATCAACGCACATGCGGCGAAACTCTACAGGACACAAAGCAATTCAATTAAAATAAATCGAAGAGAAATAATTGATGCAGACACATTTTACGACACAAAGTTGAGTCGCAGAGTGCAACAGACGCCAAGCGCTTTTGCCAATTTGCCATTATACAGCGGCAACAGCAGCTCAACTTGCAACATCCACAAACACAAAAACAAAAGCAAAGAAGTGCACCGAAGCATAAAGCAACGAGCCAGGGCGAGCGACGAGGAAGTGTTAAGTTTATTCAGCAAAAGCTCCAACACAACCTACAGCCGCCACTGTGGCACTCAGTGGTCGCCTCAGTACCGCCAACCCTGCCGCAGCCATGCCAGGGTCGTGCCAACGTCTCCGTTTACCCTCACTGGCGGCAGTGATGCGCACATCACGCGCCTCCACCACTGACTACTCCGCCTCGACGATACGCAAGGAACAGCGACGTGTCGTCATGATGGGTGCGGCACGCGTCGGCAAAACTTGCATCATCTCACAGTTCCTCTATGATAAATTTCAAACACGTTACAAACAGACGGTGGAGGAATTGCATCGAGGTGAATATGAGCTGCCCGATGGCTCAGCGTTGACGTTGGACATTTTAGATACATCCGGTTCGTATGAGTTCCCAGCAATGCGCACATTATCGATATCAACAGCGGGTGCTTTCATTCTGGTCTATGCGGTGGACGACAAGCAGTCATGGTGCGAGGTGGAACGACTAAGAAATCAGGTGAGCAAATGAGTAGATGTAGAAGTAGTCCAAGATAGGTTAGTGGGCTGAACAAAGAATACACAATGGGGACCATTATCTTCGGTGATAAATAGAATTTCTATGAAAGATATGAATTGATCCAAGAAGAATCCAAAGCTGAATAAATCACAGCTCTCGTACCAATGCGAATTCTGCGGGTCTAACCATCACTGAAGTAGAATCATAAAGATCTACTTAAACTCAACCAGTATTAGTGACATGAGTGGCATATGCCAAGCTTATATCATAATTTAAGGTGTTGTCTAGGTCTTTTCTGTCTATGGTTGGCAACATCATGGAAAAATCTCCAGGTGAACTGGTTCTTACCTTTTCCAAGTCGCGCTCGTGCAAAGCTAAGCAGAGTTGTTTTGTGCGACCTGCTCTAGGGTTATATGAAGAGGCTCAAGTTCAAGGACTTACTTCTAGCGTACACTTGTCAGTCATTGTAGCTGGGTGAGCGGATGTTTTACTGTGACCAGAGTAGTTTTCTAAACTCAAGCTACCGCTCCTTAAGATCTGGGGACAACACCCCAGGATTTTCCTGCCAGGCGCTTGCACACCACTAAAGATTTTGTGTCCTTGAAGGTGTTTGTATGCACATGTTTTCCCATAGAAGTGTGGGGCCTAGGATCAGTCCCAGATACTTTACTTCGCTGGCGACGCCCCCTTTTAAGGGTATGTCTGTCATGCCCCACCAGGCCATTTTTCTAGTAAATGGAATGATAGCGTTTATGGCTTTATTAATGATAAGCTCTAGGTTTGGTTAAGTTGAAGCGGCTGCCTTCATCCATCGTAGGACAGAGGCACACTTGTACCCAGTGGGTCCGTGGTTGTACCAATTGAGAGCTCGAAATCGAGCCCGTCCGTTCACCTAACCAGTTGGTTGGGTTCAGAAAGCGTGAGAATTCGTGAATGCCTGCTTCACTTAGATCGGCGAGACAGGCAAAAAGGTAGGGGTGAAATGAGCCCACATGAAGGCAGGAAAGTGACAGATGTAGTGCTCCACACTACGCATCGTCCGCATCGCGGCAACTACGGCAGAAGTCGTTGGCCGGTAAACCCATTCTGCTAGCATGCCTTCCCATTAAGCAGTGGCCCGTAATGATACCGGTCACCAGACTTAGTAGAGGGCGTTATAACCGAATGAGTGCGTGCGATCTTTTCTTGTCGAGGCTGGGCAAGGTTTGTCGAGTGGCCCATATGTGGGTTCTTTGACGATCTTTTGTTTGCCTTCTCAACAAAGTATTCACGTCCTGAGCCATGTATTACAGGTAGATAACGGTATGCCCGCTGCATAAGAGGAGTTGACGTCAAACAGGGTGGTTCCCTTGAATGCCTCTGTGGTCTGGAACCCTCACGATGTGAGTACTCGATTTTGAAACCAGGTCGTTAACGACTTTCCTACATTCTATCGCAGTTACAGACGAGGCCTTGCAGCAATCTAGTGACTTGATAGCTGCTTTGTTATCGGAGTATATATTTACTGAAGACAGGTTAAGTGAAGGTTCGATAAGCCAGAGTGCAGCCACTTTTAAAGCCGCGAGTTATGCTTGGAATGTAGTGGGAGGTTCTTCGTCCGCTTCCGCACTACCCGGGGCACCACTATGTCCGGGGACCCATTCAAAATTGATTATTTGATATTGCAGAGTTTGCAGGGATCTTCGGCATTTGATTTAGTCTTTACTGACCCTAAGACTTTGAGGGAACCTTGACTGTCAACAGCGATAGTAAGTTTGGACGGACCTAAGTCAATCGAACTTAACAGCTTTACCGACATGTCGATTGCATATATCTCACATCTCAACGCTGCAAAGATCTCCTGAGAGAAGATGCCCATTTTTGAATCGTCCATGAAAAAGGTGATTTCGTTATCGTTAAGAACAATATTAAGTGCCCAGTCACTCCTTTTGGGAAAATGGATATCGAAGTTTCCGTCAAAGTCAGTCTCCGTGAGCTAATAATCTCAACTGCTGTACTCAACCGACACTAGTTATGACGGGTATGGTGGCAAGTTGTTCGCCCTGCATGGGCATGCATATTAAGTAGATAAGACTTGGTGTCAACCACCGCCCATCATACCAGCGTGCCATAGGTCGTAGCCTCCAGTGTTTCCTAATCGTAGCTTTACAGGAGTAGTGCGCAGTATGGGCCTTTCTTCTCCGCTCTTCGGTATTCATTTTATAGAAAAGTCTAGAGCCGAGAATAACCCCCAAATATATTGCCTCCTTTGGCAATTTAATGTTTGCGCCATTAAGTGACGGAACTCGAAATTTATCCACTTTAAATCGGTTGGTGAACGGAACAAGTTCGGTTTTGGAGGGGTTAACCTCTAGACCATTTCTTTCTGCCCGCCCTGCCAGATCATCAAATGTGGATTGTAGATCGCCGAGATGAATTCCGCCAGGAACAGAATGACTTAAAGCATCTGTGAACACATCGACCTAAGTGGCTTTGGATGTGCGAAGCAGAAATTCATTTAGTACGAGGTTCCACAGCAGGGAAGAAAAACCCCCGACCTGAGGGGTACCGAGTGGGACATTTTTCCAGGGTTAAGTTCCCAAGGTTAGTGTAAATCGATTTCAAAAAGTCTGGTTGATCACCCTAACGTTTGTGTGCACATTTAAACACGTCTACATATTCGATTTTGCGGCCAGTGATAATTATTTAGCTCAGCGACCTTGACCTTCCAAATATGCAATACCATATACATACATTAGGATGTATACATATGTATATGCCAATGTCATTCGCTCAAATTCCAATGTAATGCAATATTATTTTATTGACCATTTCAATATTAATTAAATTGGATTTATGAACACATACTTATACATTTTACACTCGTACGCGCATGAACTCAATCAACTCAAATATTTATGACACATTCATCAAATTCTCCTCCGGGTTTTTCTTCTTCTTCTTCTTCTATTTAATTTTCCATTGCAGATAATTGCAGCGCGTGGCCTCAAAGTGCCCATTGTCATCGTTGGCAATAAGGTGGACATAAATGAGGCTGATCGGCAGGTGCAGCATGAAGTCACCGAAATGATTGTGTGCGAAGATTGGAAATGTGGCTACATCGAATGTTCAGCGAAAGAGAATGTGGGCATTGTAGAGATCTTTAAAGAGCTGCTGGTGCAAGCGGACATACGTTACAATCTGAGTCCGGCCGTGAGGCGGCGAAGACAGTCGCTACCCTCCTACAGCAGCGCGGGAGCGGGTGCGGCACGCGGCAGCAAGGGCCCATCACATAAATACACATTGAAACGTCACTCATGCACCATGACATGAAGGGCATGAACGGATGTAATGGAGCCAACAAAGGTGATGAGAATTCCTTGAACGCATAAGGAGCTGCACTGATTTTATATTTGAAAAAAAAAACAAAAACATAAAAGGTAAAAGTACGTGTAAAGACAAGAACAAAAAAAAACAAAAATAGAAACTGGTTGTTGCATGTTTGTTTGCATCAACAATATAGCTAAAGGTTGTGCCACATACATACATATGTATGTATGTTCGGGTATTTTGTAAGCGGCGAGCTGTCAATGAACAAATGTCATTTGCGAGTATCTCAGGTGCCAAGGTTGCTGCTGCTGCTGCTAGCCACAGTGACAAAAGTCAAGCCAAGTTGGGCATGGAAATTATAGATGCCATCTGCAGGGCTGTTGTCAACGTCTTTGATTTTTTTCCATCGCTGATATGCTTACGCACACTGACAATAACGGTGATAACGGTGCTGCTGTCAATGTCACAGTGACATTCAATGCCAGCTGCAGCAACTAAAAGTAGCCGTTTCAATCAATGACGTTGTCAATACGACGCGCAAACACATAAATGTTGGTGCCTCGGTCATGTGCTTTGTTAAGGGTAGAAAGAGGGATGAGGGGGGAAGGGGGGGGGGGGG